AAAAACTTGAGTAGTGTCCTTGGAAACAGGAGTGGACACACACACACACATTGGACTGTGCAAACATCAAACTTGGGCTGCGGCTCGATTTGAACTTCCTTAGGTCATAACGTAGATTAGCATGAAAGTGTGGAACCAAAACCTGCCGGTGGTTCATCTCCAACCGTCACGCAATTAGTCAAGTGCAAGCCAAAATTCACCTGGCCCTGGCTTCTACATGCCCTGCTACAAAGCATGTCTGAGCACTAGCATGCTGGATGGTCCAGCTTCGTCTTTCCCATTTCTGTTGCCAAGTTGACAAGTGGCCAAGCATGCGTCCTCTTGGGTGGCGAAGCGCATCTTAATGATGTGGGGCCTTGGGATGGGACACCGTGTGTGTATGTGCATCTTTTGAGCAAGGACGCTACTAGTAGCTCCTGGCATTGCTACTAGGAACCCGGGCATCGCTACTGGGAGCAAGGACGCTACTAGTAGCTATTTGCTACTAGAAGTAATGCCGATGCCCTTGTTGCTACTAGCAAGGACGCTACTAGTAGCTGCATGAGTCTTACTTGATGTGCCGAGATTGGGTTCAAGAGTGATTTATGAAGAAGCAGTTCAAGAATGCCAAGCGCAGGCCCAAGCTGAACAAATGCAAATGCAGGAACGCTTCTAATTTCCCCTCTCGCATCTATAAGCCATTAGCTTCTGTTCAGGGCAGTTCCAGCTCGGCTTCTTTAAGCCGACGTTGGCGTTCTTTCACCATCGCTGCCCGCTCAAGGTTGTCTCTGACCATCCGCTTCACCGGAGGGAGCAATGCACTGTCCTTGTCCTGTGGCGCACGACAGCGTGGGAGCATGTCGCATGTGTACTGGTTCCCGACCTAACGGGCTTCAGGGCAGTAAGCACCAAAATCTATATACGGAAATTGAAAAGCAACATGCGAGAACAATCCAGAAACATCAAACAATAGTAACGCCCTAAGGATTGGAAGGACCAAGGATAAAATCCAAGCTTCTTTGTTCTGACATGTGCTGTCCAAATGTCTATCAAGTGGAGCACTTAGGATCCCTTCAGTGTCAATCACGCGCTATGCATGTGTTTTTCGAAACCCAAGCGTCCAAGAAGGGCAAGACGCGAATCAGGTGCTGCAAACCCCGGCGATATGCTGGGAACGCCTCGTTCAAACGCCCTCGGCTCTCCGCCTGACGAGCAGATTTCACCAAGGCTTCGCCTTTTGCCAAGCGCTGAGTGCAGCTCTCCGGAAGAAGCTGGGAAGTCATCCCTTGGCGGGGGCGCAAATCGGACACACCAGGCGAACTCTCTCACTCACTCTCCAGGTTTTGTGGAAACATCGATGTTCAGAAGAAACCACAAATAATTGATGTCTACGCGTTTTGCTTGCTAGATCTTCATCCATTATAGGTCGAGACTGGAATGACTGCCATAAAAACACGTCGCGGGTGTCCACCAATTCAATCACGCTGGACATAACATGAATTAAATTCAATTCTGTAAACCAATTTCACAAGCACTGGGCCCCTGGGCCTGTATCTGTTGCTCGCTTCTTGGGGATGTTTCCAGCCGGCTCTGCCAAACGCTTCTGCGGAAGTTCGCCTGAGTAAGGCTCCAGCTTCAGCACGAAGCTTTGCTGAATCACGTCGTGCTCTTCAGCCTCTTTCTTCTTGGGCTTGCGCACAGGGACAGAGATCGCACCACCATTTGGCAGCTGCAATTCTGATTCCTTCGGCACTTTTTGAATGGGCTGAGATGGAGTCAACCGCAGCCCAGTGCCATTCATAGACAAGTCCTTAACCAGCAAATAACCACTAGCTGGTGCTTGAGGAAGCCTAAGCTCCAGGTGATTCCAGGAGATGCCCGACAATGTGCACACCACATCTGATTTCGGAGCACGGCCCACAGTGATGGCCTTCTTCTCAGGCCCCAAAACAAACTGCAAGGGTGGCCGACCGGAAGCAGCGTCAAAGCTCAGCGTTGCCAAAAACTTGTCGCCCATAGCAGCTCTGAGGCACCTACATCAATGGCATCGAAGAGGCCAGCAACTCTGGGGGCTCCGGGGAATCTTGAGCCGATGCTTCCAGAACCTCTGCTGAAAAGAAGTTTGCACTAGCCTCTCTTGAGCAGTCGTTGCCAAATCTGGGCAACGCTATGAATTTCAATGTTAATCCCACTTTGAAGCACTGTCCCACAAACAAAGACTACCTATTATCGTTGACCACCTTCTCGCTGCAAAGCTGGATGCCTTCTGCGTTCCTGCTGGAATTCAAGTTCCGGTGCTTCCGAATCACCAGCATGGAGAAACACCTCTTTTCAACTTGCCACACTCCAGCGCAAACCGCTTCAATCATCACCTGCAGCTTTCCGCTTCTTGCTGGCCTCCAAAGCCCAAAAGTGATGCAAAGGATCGCCCAACACCAGGACAAACACACTTGGGAGAAAGTAGTACATTCAAATCGAAGAGTGCATACCTAATATACTTACTATAGTTCTCTCATTTTCTCTCCAAATTCCCCAAACTATAAAAATTTCACTTCCCACCTCCACCATCCTTAGCGGACCAGCGGCGACAAATTGGACTGAAGTGTCTCAAAGCAGAACTGCCCACATTTCATTTGGAACTATAGAACCAATGGCCGGATGGATGGCAGGATGGCCAATGGAAGTGACTAAGAACGCTTCTTGGATAGCACGTAAGTAGAACAGTACATTGAAGCAATCTCAGTCAATCCGAATCGCCCAGCATTGATCCATTCATGTCTCTTCCATGCTGAGACTCTGCTTCTTCTTGTGGGCCTTCTTGAGGTCGTAGCCCGAAATCGTGCTGATACGCTTTCGTTTAGGCTGCCGCCTGGGGTGACAATGCAGGAAAGGACCCTTGGGCTCGTGGCGCACAGCCAATGCCCGCACCCTTTCCCACTTCTGATGCTGCCCTATCCCACTTTGCAGAAACAGCATGCATGGCTGGTTTCAGGTCGACTTCAACTCAGTACAGTCAAAAATACAAAGCTGCCTCTTGTCAAATAGCTGGGGCCAATGTTCTAGTTGCATCATGCTCCCAGGAGAGGTTTTGTGTTTCGTCACAAACAACTTACTTGCTCCCACAAAAAAAGCAATTCTCATATAATATATATATATATTATATATATATAATTCCTTAATCAAGCTGCCACTCTGCCAGGCGCTTCTCCTGCACTCTGCCGTCAAGCTGTCACAGGCCTTCGGTTCTAGCTTTTATCACTTAAGACTTACTGTAGGACTGTAAGACTCTTGACTCTGACTCTTGACCCTTGACTTGTGCTGTCACCCAATTTCAATATCATTTCGCAAGCTGGACCTTCTTGGACCTCTGCTTCAGCCGCAGCATCCACTCGGGCACTTCACAGCCAGATTGCCGCATGACCCCGACGATGCCTGAGCCCGATCAACTCTGCGCAAAGGTGATCTCAATCATTCATTGGCAAATTGGACTTGGGGCTTGGGGGTGGTTCTTGAATACTATGACCTGAGACACAGGTCAACGAGCAAGAATTGACAATGACGGGAGGAAACCTTCATGCATGCTTTTGACCTGAGCAACCTCGAGCACGACTGGATTATCGCAAATTATCGCCTTAATCATATTCATGCCAGAAGACTGCGCAACGATTCAAAGTCGTCGATGGTGAACATGGTGATAGCCTTCCCCTTCCTCAGTGCCAGCACGACGTGCAAAAGGATAACTTAACCTATATTGATGGTTTTGCATCATTTCTCTCTTGCTTTCCCGTTTGTCATGCGTTTCTCTATTTCTACCCAAGTGGCCTTCCAGCTCGACCGGTTCGACCGATCCTTGTGTCTCATCCGAGGACACATGTTTATTGAAATTCCTGAAAGTACAAGAAACAAAGCGACATATTACTATATTATACATACTATTTTTGCACACATTGCCCCGCTTCTCCAAGAACACCTTGATCCTCTGCAAAAGAAATATAGTACAACTCTGGCTCTGTGTGCCAGTCACATGGTGCACGGAAATTGAAAAGCATGAGATTGCCTCCAATAATGGTTTGGTCTGGCCACCTGTGAATGTACGTGGCCGCTGACTGGGGGAAGTCATAGTTGATGACCTCGGGCGTAGCGAAGCTGAGGCTCTGAGGCCTTCCTTCAATGAATGAATCTGGTATGCCAGCTCTAGAATGCTCGACTCTAGAAATCTTTGAGAAATGCTGCCCTGCCACTGTCTCCACACCTGACCAAGCATTTCCGGTTTCTAGGGAAACAATTGCAAAAGGCAAGCCAACAAAAAAGGGTTGCCATGGCGCCCTGGTTTGTGTCACGGTTCACCGCTGTATGCCATGCAACGCCAGTATCTCTGTTCGACCATACAAGTGATTTGAATCAAACTCTACTCTTGGATCTTTTCTTCTGGAAACAAACACACAAGTCCGACTGGTGTGAGCGCCCCTGTGCCATGCGCTGCATTCTGTTTTTCGGAATCTCATGAAACTGCTTGTGTGATATATCTTTGATGCCGCTTGTTCATTTGTTTGGTGGATTCCTGGGTGGAGCTGCTCCCGAGCCAATGCCTTTGAAGTCCACACCGCGTGCCATCAGGTCTGTGCACACCAGCACCCAAAGCTTTCCAGCACGGAAAGCCTTCACCTCAGATCTTGGGGCATCATAGAATTAATAGCAATGGCCTCCAACCTAAAAAAGCGATGGCCTCCATCCCAATAGCAATGAGACAATCGATGCGTGGCAAAAAGGTTCTCCATGGCTCTCACAATCTCCAATCTGAGTTGCTGTGTTGTCCCGCTGTTGTTTCGTTCTATCTGCATGGATGGTGTCTACGAAAATGCCATCGTAGACCAGCTCGCCGAAGAGCTCTTTGGCACGTTCCTACTAATTAACGAGGCCAGCTCACAAGACTGACGCTGAACCGATCACAACACTGAGGCGAGCCTTGGACTGCACAAAGACCAAGGCTGGCGGCTTGATTTCACCATCCTGCCAGCTCAAAATGCAAATTCAAGGACAACCTGGTTGAGCACTTCCTGATTTACTGCAGTAGATCGGTAGGTAGATATCGGATGATATCGGTAGATCCAACTTTCGGCCACGGGGTCACCGGAATGTTGCACTTTAAGGAGCTGAGGGGATTGGGCTGGCATTTTGCCAATTCCGTCCTGCAGCAGCTGCCGAAAGCTGAAAAGTTTGCCATCCTCACTGGTGATAAAGAGGAGCTTCCTTGGCACAAGCTACAGTATCCCATAGTATCCCCACAACTGTCACAACCTTTGCTTGCCATCCCTGTGCCTAACAGGCTCAACATGCACTAACGAAAACAATGACAGTGAAAGAAAAGAAACGCAT